TGGGCTTGCCATGACTGGTGAATCGCACGAGGAAAGCCAGCAGTCAGCAAAATCCTGCAGGCTATACTGGCCCCACTGTTTTACCACAATCAAAGGGACGCAACCCCACTTCTGACTTTGACAACCCGCAGAAAGAGTCAAATAATGAGCTGCAGTTGCTATGGTCTCTCTCTCTCTCTAATGTATACATTATATGCTTGATTGTGCAAGGACCAAAGCACACTCACTTCGGTTTGCACCCAGACTGCCACCACGTTGCCACATCTCACACCAGCCGCCACCCCACAAATGGCTAGGGGGCATGCTTGCAGCTCACCCAACTTTCTGCCGTAAGCCCAAACACACATGTTTACTTCTTTTCTACACAAAGTACGCTCCCACCAATGAACATGGAACCTCACAGGGACCCGGTCCCTTTCAAAGAAAAACCCCCCCGATCAGGTTCCATGTCATAGGTTTCAAAGCCGAAGAGTTGTCCTGGGACACGTCCGTGTTGGCTTTGGGCTTCCCTGCAAGGCCACCAGCCCGAGGCACCGCTGTGGGAAGCTGGCGAGAGGTTTGGGCTGGACGAACTCTCGCAACTAAGAAACCATGGCTGAAACCAATGTTTGTTGGTATTTACAGGGGAATCATCCTTTCGGTGCAAAATGGATTTCGCCCATCCATGGGAATTAGGTGTCTTTCTTGCAACCAAACCAACAACGACGCCCATGGAGTTGGGCTTTTTTCTAACCTGGCAGCCCAAATAGTCAAAGGGCGCCAAGCTTCTGTTTTCTCTTGCAAACTTTGGCGCTTTCCCTTAGCGCTCCCTTTTGATCTGAACCGGTTTTTGGGGTGTCCCTTGGACCCCAGAAAGGGTTCCCTGTTCCGGATCCTCAGCTTCACCGTCACCCAAAAGGGGAACAACATAATCCAAACGAAAAAGGCACCACCCCCTTCCCCTGCTTCTTCTTTGTGGGCGAGACTTGCGGCACGAGCCACCCATGCTCAGGCTTCGACTCAAAACCCCCATGGAGGAATTGACGTTCACCGACCGAACATAAGGAGCCACCAAGGAGCTAGCTATTGTTTCAATGCCGTTGGGGCTTTTATCAAAGCATGACGGAAGTACGGACTCTTGTTTCCCAGGGGCATGCAAGCTTATTCCAAGACCCCCCTCCTTCGCCGCTCCTTGCAAAGACCCGGCATTGAAAAAGCCCACCCAAGGAAAGTCAATAGTTAAAAGTTCACAGGCCACGTTCCAGGCCGGGGCATGGCAAGGAGAGTGTGGGTACTACAGGATTCCCCAACAGGTATCCCACAATATCTTGTTTTGCAACGGGGATCTTCTGAATGAGCTAGTAAACGTGACATTCAACATGAGAAACATTGCCAACATGTACTATTAAACCAACCCTGTACTCAACTTCATCCTCCCGACATACTGAGTAGTATTTTCTGGGAACACCAATGCAGATTTACTACCAACGATACTCAACATGTGGAACCCGTTTCCGCTTGTTTTTGGAGGGCATCCAAAGGAAGCCACACATCAGTCGGAGCCCGGGTGATTTTCTCCCGGTTGACCTGTCGGTCTCGCCTGTCCGCGAAGGCCATGGCCACACGACCGCCCAGGGAATAACCTAGCAAGAGCCAAGTTGGGACTGCTTTTGTTATGTCTTTCTTTCTTGATTTGCTTCTTTCTGTACTTCTTTATTCGTTCCTTCCTTCTTTTGTATTGTCTCTCTCTCTCTCCATCTCTCTCTCTCTCTCTCTCTCTTTTGCTCCCTCCCTCTCTCCCTCCCTCCTCTCTGAAACAAGTTTCTCTCGTCTTCTGGCAGTGTGCCATGCTTGCAGTCAGCGCACGTGTAGACCATCTGACCGACTCCTTCATGTTTACTTGTCAGCCCGCTGTTCGTGACTAAGGAATATCCCCCTGACATACTGCGTGACTAGTGCCCAGGATTATGGGACAAGTCGGCGTCGCATCGCCTCGCTTCTTTGGCCCGCACCTGCCAGCAACACCCGGTCCAGGTGCAGCCGGTCGAAGAGATCCGCAAGCGCCTCGCATGGCCCAGCTTGGCCGCGAGGTTGGCTTATGAAACCCCTATATAACCCTGAGAGGAAATCGTTGCAAGAGTGATGCGGAATCGGGCACCGGGGACCTCGTATAAATCTCAGACGCATGAATTTAAAATCCTGCGACTCTGAGTGGCCTTTTGGGCTCTTGCACTACGGCGTCCCGAAGCCCCCACGTGGATGTTGGTCACGGTTTCCTTTTGGTTTCCCTAAACCAAGTCCAAAAAGTGTACAAAGCAAAAAACAACCAACGTTGTACAGTTTCAGGGTCTTCGAATCAAGCCCTGGGATGAAGGTTATAGGACTCCATTTGGAAGATGCCTCCATATTTGGACAAACGAACAGGCGGGGATACGGAGGGAGCGGGGATATGGGGGGATTCCCTTGGCACCATTTCCCATATCAAACTTAGTCAAGTTGCATTTGGCTGGAATCCTCCCGTATCCCTGGTTCCCCTATATCCCTGCTAGTTGGTTTCCCTGATATATTCCCTTCATTTAGGGTCATTTCATTTTTTCTGGTTGTCATGTCATTTGTCATTTCCCAAGTAATTGCGGGGTGCAACACAAATATTAAATTAATTCGACCGAAGGTTTAAATGCAGGTAGTTCAAGATGAAGCAAGCACCTGCCATCCGTTGCCAAAGCAACCCTCCCTCACGGATGGAAGCTGAGAGAAGGTCCCTTTAAGAGGAAATGGTCCTCCAAAGGCCAGTCAGCTCCCACGTTGGTGGGTGGCAGGGTGAAAATCCTGAGACCCTTCTTGACTCTGGTGCACACAGCCGCTTAGCCGCTTTTGTTCTGACAGGCAGCTACACTTTGCCCAAGGCTGTTTGCTTCTTTACTCCAACACCATCCTCTGCCCAAATTCAATCTCCGACAACTAGGGAAACAAACGGTCAGGTTGCGCTTCATGAAACCACGTCTGTCAGCCGTGGGTTGCGCTGCTTCGCAGCTGCTTGTTTTATAGGTAGCTAGGCTGAAAAGGGCAAGTCGAGGGTTCACATTGGCATTGCGACATCATCCGCGTGTCATGTTCAAGGGAACTTTGGCACGAAACCTACCAGGAGAGGGTCCGTACAACTACCACCACCACCACCACCACCACCGCCACCACCGCCACCACCGCCACCACAACCACCATCACCACCAGCATCACCACGCTTACTGCCACTGCTTATTGCTACCGCTACTGTTGCTTCAACGTCCATCAACATGATCATCGTGGTACCCCCATCAACATAGTCGCTCCAGTTTGCCCACAGAAAAAAAAAGGAGAACAAACAACAGAAGAGAAAGCGACGACTGCTTCGGCCAGCCATTTTAAGCGGAGCATCACAGCCGACGCGCGAAAATTTGGAGTCGGCGCGGTCGGTAGCGAGATCGTGGCGATTCAGCCGATCTTGAAAATGGGCCTTTTCTGGGCCTGGATTTCCTTTGAAAGCCTTCTGCTTCGGGCCTTGACCAAAAAACGCATGCCGTGTCTGTCCACTGGCTGTAGTATTGACCAACACTCTCGCTTCCAGGCGAATGGCCTGAAAAGCCACGTTCGGCAAACCTGCAGCCTTTACCTCGTGGCCATCTGCTCCGAAGCTCGCGGAGAAAACGAGACTGGAATCAGCTGGGAACTATCGAGATATTTCAATGTCTTCTCAAGACCATCTTGTGGCACTCGCGAACAGTGGGGCAACGGCGGGTGAAACGGCAAGCGTTGGATTGCATCAAATAGGTCAGTCCAACTAGGAGGGGTGGCATGCTGTAAGCAGGCTCTTTGGCTTCCATCCTTGCAATACGCCCGGCAAGCAGCGCCCATAACCAATTTGGGTTGGCAAAAAAAAACGGGGGGAGGGGAGAAAAAACAGCAAGACCCATGGACTCTTGTATCAATGTGTTGGCAAAAACAACAACAAGACTCATGGACTTCTGCATTTGTTGGGGTAAGTTTTGTGGCTTTCTCGAGGTGTTCTGTACTGTTCATGAAATGGTGAGACAACTCGAGAAAAGCAAAAGAATGTCAGACCCCAACTCAGCCAGCATGGACACATAGGGGCTGACATGTTGCCTTTGGCTTGGTGGCTTTCTCGCGGTTCTTCGTTTTTGAGGTTGGGGCTCAGCAAGAAACAAATATCCGCAAGGAAACATTTGCCATCGCGGCCTGGGCATTTCACCTAACCGCAACCGAATTTTATTCAACTGAACCTGAAGAAACAGCCAGCAAACCCTAGATACTTGGAAAGGAAACCATATCTAAATTCTGATTCAACACAATACCTAAAACTGAGTCAGCTAGAATCTAGAAGAAACTACCAGCTTGTCCTTCCTTACTAAATTCTAGTTATGCCCATGTCAACTCAAGATCACATGAACATTTGGAAGGACAACCTGCCAACAATGTACTTTGGAATGGTTAAACAAATATATAGCTAAAGTGTAATTGACAGCATATTTGGAAAAGAACCCATTACACATCTAAACTAACAATTAAATTCCAGGTTCTGATTAGCTTCTAATTGGAACCCTGCCTGGAAGGGAAGTGCTGACTAAAATCTAATTCAAGAAGATGAAGGGAAGTCTGATCGAAACAAGCTCCACAACGAATCCATGATCGCAAACAGGCCATACACTTGAACAAGTACTCCAAGCACGCCAAGCGCACCAGCAAGGCCTACGCGTGCACCAAGAAGTGACAGCTGATGTATTGCAATTGGCGAGCTAGCTTTGACTCTATGGCGACTGTGTGTCAAAACAGTGCGTTGCAGTCCTGAACCCATTGCATCTGTTTCCTGCTACTCTTCGTTGTCACTACAAATACAAGAAAGCGCAACTTGTTTGTCAGAATAGCGCAGTTCTTCTCCTCTATCCATTGCATCTGCTCACTTTCACTCTTTGCTAGCGCTACAAACACAAGAAAGTGTAACTTGTAGACAAGCAAGGTCAAACAAGGCACAAAAACACGAAACAACAATGCAAAACCAAACCCCCATGAGCCGCCGCCCTCTTTCTTTTCAGGTGGGTCAAATGGGCGCTCGTGGCGTTGCATCACTTGTGCAGTGCCCAGTAGGTACCATAGGCCAACACCCCCAGCAGTGCAGCGAGACCTGCCTCGGCGCAATCGCCGACCGCAAATCCGTGGGAGCATTTCATGTGAATCTCTAACCTGAAGAACACTGGCTGTGGGTCAAGAATATGTACCCAAAATGGAACCCTAGTAAATGGAAACATGGACTAAAACCTGCGGTCCCCTGGTGGTTTAATTTTGACCCATACCCTTATCACCACCTCCGACAAGTTCTGTTGGAACCATGGGATTAACCCGCATGTACCCACATGGGAAAATGTCCTGGAGGCGGCCAAGAAAGCTTTGATTACGGGGTGATCACACGTTTGTCTAGCCTCCCCACGAGGCAGAAATGAAACCACGGCCGATTGGATGGCGACCCCCTACATTCTTACCCTTGCACCCCTTTGTGGGGAACATGTATGAAGGGCCCCTTTCTTGTCGGCATGCCCGTCCAAATGAGGCGGCGGGCATGTCACTTCAAAAAGGAGCTAATCTCTTTCTCCAAGCATTGTGCATTGTCTTCCCCCGAAAGCTGATCTCCTTGTGTTTTTCCTTTTGCAGCCACACTGAGCTGCAAAACGTTTGTTGACAGTCTGGTTGATGCTTCTTGGGCCACATCCACTGGATCGGACCAGTGGCCAAAATCAATAACTCAGGCTTTAGGACAGCGGCGATTCTCCAAAGACCGTGTGACTTGCCTAGATCCCGCGGGCTTTGGACTTTGGACCTTCCTGAGCGGCCCGCGTAGAGGGCCGGTGGCACGTCCGGCGGGGCCAGATCCTCCTCCTCGCCCAAAAACTCTCGAGCGGACCTTCGGACGGAGAAAGGCGGACGGTCAGAAGTAACGGTCGTCTGGGTTGTTCAAACTGTTCAACCGCTAGGGGATTGCTTTTGAACCCAAGGGGCAAAGTAGATACTTCCCGGCACTTCAATTCGTGGTTTCCCAAACCATTTTAGCTGTCGAGTGGATCGTCAGATGGTTTGGCCGCGGGAGCGCAGGCGACAGCTTGATTTTATCTCAACTCACAAGTCAGTTTGAGCATCTCGTAGCTTTTTCAGCACCATTTGATCCTTTGGGAATGCCTCACGTTTCGAGTCTCAAGGGCTTCCCTTTCACCAGCCCACCCCCAAATCTTTCGGCCATTCCTCAAATGGTTGGAATCCCCTTTCTTTGTCGTCACCTGCACCCGTTGCCCAGTGACCTTGGTAGAAAAAGGGAACTCCCTTTGGTTGACCATTGTTGGCGGGGAAGCCATCGAAGTGGGGGCCCCTTTGGAGGGCAATAACCCTTTGTCCCTGAATGGGTCTGATTTCCTCGCAGAAGGGATTCTGGATTAGGATTTGCCGACAGAACGTGGGGATTCCTCCGATCCACACCCAGAACGCAAGGGGAACGCAGGAACAACCCCCCAGCTCATTTGATCAGGAGCAACCCATCCAAGGATGAATCAAAGGACAACTTTTCGTGGGCTGATTCCGTCGGCTTAGCCCAGTTTTTGCTTTCCACTGTTTGCGCCCACATTGAAGTTGCTTGGAAGGGAAATCAAAGGACCCCCCCCCAAAAAAAAAAGAGAAGAAAAGAACGTTAAGCGGCGGATGGGGCGCTTTTTGGGGAGCTGCACCCCGTCCACGGTACTTCGTCCGTCCGATTTGCACTGGGGTTCCGGGCTCGGACCACTCTCGGTTCTGCTCCGCCCACTGTTTGAGCTCTTTCAAAGTATCGCCCCCGCCTACGTCGCCAGAGTCGACTTGCGAGGGAGAACGACTCGCCACGCGGGCTCGCAACGTTCAGCATTCATAATGTTGACCCCGGATTGCTCAGCCTGTGGATTCATGGAAGTTCCTCAACAAAGAATCTCGTAAAGGGAAGCCAAAGGAACCATTCGCTATTTTTCTTCCCAGAAGAATCGATCATCTCTGGACAACTCCTAACTTGGCCTGTTCCTTGGCTCAAACTGGTGACATGGTGTCCTTCTGCTTGTGGGGAATGAGCTTCCCGAGGATGGGGGATGAGTAGTTCCCCGAACGGTCAACCGCAAAAATGATATTGCTTTGCCTGCTACCAGGTGCCTTCGCGTTGGAACATTTCACTAGTGACCGATATCCTGGTGGTTCTGGCCAAGTACTTTACTGGGCCATGATACACACTCTGAGAACTCTCAGCCCAGCACCCATGAGCTGCTCGTACGCCTCGCTCGCGGTCGTCCAAAACGCGGAACCCCAACCATGAAGAAACTGGGCTGGTACTGTCCAAGTCATCTGTCCACTGGTTTTGCCGTACAGCAGTTCCGAGTCGAAGCGATGGGCCACGGCGGAAACGCTCAGTTTGGTGTTTGCTTTCACCTGCTGTCCCGTTCTCGGCGACCACGGGCTACGCCCTCGAGATGAGAGCGCAATCTTCAATGTTTTGTTGTATAACTCGTAGGACATTCATCAGCATATGAATTGTAGTCAGTATTCCAAACTAATAATATGTGTTTCTTATATAACTTATATTAGTGTACACATTCACACAAGCACCTGTCTGCAGGATGGTAGGATGGGCAATCAAGCTGAAATAATTGCGCACATTTGCTAGACGTGTCCTGTGAGCAATGCACATGCGTCACTACTTCGTCAACCTGCACAGAATATCATGGAATAAGTTCCGAGTGGGAACTGTTCATAGTTGCCAGCATCTCTCCTTTGGCCCCTGCTCGTTTGCTTGCGCGAAACCATGATGTGGATTCCGACTAGGGGAACCAGGGGCATGCATGACCTATAATAGGGGTCCTGGGGGGGTCTAAAGACCCACAGCCGAGGGTGCCTTTCGTTCAAGGGGGTTGACGGATAAAACTTGGTGAATTCGGCGCTGCTCTTTGGTTAGAGAGCGTAGAGTGGCCCCAAGGCTTTCCATGGAAGTCCGGCAGAAACACTTCAAGGACAGAGTCTTCCAACAGGGGTCTGTGCATTTGAATGTTTGTTGGTGGGAGGGCTAAGCATTTTGGTAGAAGAAACAAGTATGTGTCGGGCGCTGCTCATGAGCTGAACATCAAGTTGCATCAAGCGCATGACCGACACAGGGCGCAGTTCACGCCAGGCCTTCTTGATGCGCATGAATTTCACCGGCGCGTCCGGGTCGTTCGGCCGCTTGTCTGGATGCTGCGTTGCCTCCGGCCCCAGTCTATGGCGAGGCCCAATGAATATACGAGTTTGTCTCATGAGGAAACCCTGCTGGTGGTGTGTCCCCTTAGGGCACAAACATGGGTAGGCTCAAAAAAGGACACGCCCACGCTATCTCGGCAACAGCTTGGCAATCATGTCCTTTCAGAACTCCTAGATCCTTAGCTCCCTCTTTAAGGCACATCTGGATCCCCCCCAGCTCCTTGGCTCCCTTCCAACTGCCAGAAAAGCAACTCACTAAAGATCTGACATGGACAGATAATCCAGACCACATCTTGGAGGCGACAAAACGAGATACCTCCACCAATTCTTGTTTTGGGATACCCTCTCTACAAGAATCATGGAAGTGGACAGAAGGGGGTTGCCAAACGACTTACCATCCTCTTGAAAACGCAGCCTTGTCCACTTCCATGATTGTTGCAAAAGGGTAAGGATCGTTCTCCGTCCCAAATATTTCCTGACAACTCCAAATGAAAAGGAATCAACCCAGTAACAGGCCGAATCTTCTTCCAATTCAGAACATGGCTGATGGGTTCCTTTCGGATGCTACACACTTGACTTTGCCCTTGCAAGCTGGAACCCGTTTACTAGAATCCATTTAGGGATCCGTGACATAAAGCGAAGGCTCTCTGATTTTGGGGTTCCCTTTTCCCATCCTCGGACCCAGTCTCGCCACCGGATGAGATGAGTCGCAAGCCAAAACCTGTATGCCCTCCTCATATCGAACTCACCGGAAGCTTCCTTTTAGAAGCAAATGGACCAACACAGGGAACCCATTCAGATTCAATGGAGCTAGCAGAGATGTATGTTGCGGAGATACAAGAGGATTCCCTCGGAAGCATGAACTTGCAAACTAAGCCCCGGTGCTTGTCTGGGGAATCCCTGATATCTATGCGTATGTCTATGCATATTCCCTTCATTTCGCTCATTGTTTTTTCCCTGACAAATGACAACGCTCAGACGTCCTGTAAACGCGCGGTTGTTTTTCGTTCTTTCCTCCTGTAATGGCCGCAAAAACGCGCAAATCATATGGTTTTTCACAGGTTTCGAGCAAGTCCAGCAAAGGGTGGGCCGGATGTCCGAGTGGAACTGCAAGAGCACGGCCTATCCTTAGGTGACTCCAAATCAAAACCTGTTATTTAAATGGTCGCACTCCCAGAACCATGTACAGAATTAAAAAGGCTGACACCCCCACCCATTAAATTTGTTGGCATTATCCCTTAACTTTCTTCTACCCGGGTTTCGAGCAAGTTGGTCAAGTGCCTCTCTGGCAAGCAAAGATGGTGCCGGCTCAGGGCGCCTGAAACCATCCCATCGTTCATGCAAACTGATCAAAAAGAGCACCCAGGCATGTACCTGCATTTTCAACTTCGCATCCAAGCATTGTCTTCATACAAGACCTGCATCTGGGAGCCGGAGGCTCGTAAAAACGGTGTAGGGTGTGGAGTTTCGCGTAAAAAAACGGTCTTTGGGTGTGGGGGTTCGGGCGTGCTTACCATGTGGCCGGCATGGATGCAGTGCTGCGCGGGTGCGCCTGAACGGGTGTTCTTACCATTTGGCGGGCATGGATGCAGTGCTGCGCGGGTGCACTTGAACGGGTGTTCTTACCATTTGGCTGGCATGGATGCAGTGCTGCGCGGGTGCACTTGAACGGGTGTTCTTACCATTTGGCTGGCATGGATGCAGTGCTGCGCGGGTGCACTTGAACGGGTGTTCTTACCATTTGGCTGGCATGGATGCAGTGCTGCGCGGGTGCACTTGAACGGGTGTTCTTACCATTTGGCTGGCATGGATGCAGTGCTGCGCGGGTGCACTTGAACGGGTGTTCTTACCATTTGGCTGGCATGGATGCAGTGCTGCGCGGGTGCACTTGAACGGGTGTTCTTACCATTTGGCTGGCATGGATGCAGTGCTGCGCGGGTGCACTTGAACGGGTGTTCTTACCATTTGGCTGGCATGGATGCAGCGCTGCGCGGGTGCACTTGAACGGGTGTTCTTACCATTTGGCTGGCATGGATGCAGTGCTGCGAGGGTGCACTTGAGCGGGCGTGCCTATCGTGAGTGTGATGAACGGGTGTTCTTACCATTTGGCTGGCATGGATGCAGTGCTGCGCGGGTGCACTTGAGCGGGCGTGCCTATCGTGAGTGTGAATTTCCATATAATTCCCGCGTTTTACGTGGTAGTGGCCGGACATGCACGAAACCTGTGAAAAACCATATGATTTGCGCGTTTTTGCGGCCATTACAGGGGGGAAAGAACCAAAAAAGCGCGCGTTTACAGGACGACCGAGCCAATGACAAATGGCAAGGTGTGAGGACTGGACTACCAGCCATCATAACATTGATACCACACATACACACTAGATGAACCGGCTGCCCCTCTGTTGGGGTTGGGACCATCCCCTAAACTCCACGTCCACACATAGACCTCTGGGTTCCGAAAAAGGCATCAAACAACCACCTGCTTTACAAGGGGATCCTCCATTTCCCATCTACACTCTACAAAGGACCAGGGTTCACGTACCTGAGTACCTGATTTGATGTACCCGCTTGGGTTTATATACTGTGGGGCGAAACAAGATCACCAAAACCATTTTGTGGGGCCCCCTATTTTGACACGATGGGTGTGTGTGTGTGTGGTTTTGCCTTGAGGGTACCCCTTGTTGGTTTCAAAAACAAACACCCAACGGAAAACCCCAGAACATGTTGCGCATTTTGAGGGCTCCCCTCACAAAGTCGGCCGAAATCAAACGAAACCAGGGCCCCCAACGACAAGCTTCCGGAAGCGCCGCCGGATCTTCTGCTTGTCTGCATCTGGCGGCAGCGCGAGGACCTGCGATAGATGTGGCCAAGTGGCGCGGCTTGCATCGTCCAGGCTCCCGCAGTACACAGCGCCCATGCTCATCGAAGGTGCCAAGTGAAAAAACAACTGCGCAGTGGGTAGAAAAGTTTATGATTCTGTTGGGCAAACGCTGGGGGTATGGGTCAAAATGAGTCACCAGGATCAGGTGTTAGTCCATTCCCTTTGCCAGGGCAACCCATTTTGGGAACCGAGTGTTGACCCACAAGTGGCGGGCTTTTCCAGGACTGTTTTATCATGGTATCACCTTACAGGGAACTCAACCTTGGATTGTTCAATCACTTTTACCCGGAATTCACCCTTGGAATGCAGCAAGCTGGCCGTGGACCATCCCCATGACTGTCTAACCAAGCCCAAACAAAAGTCAAAACCCAAGACTGTTTTATCTTGGAATCAAACAAACACGCCGCAAAACCCACTTTTGCACCATGTGGCTCCAAGACCCTCCCTGACCAAAACGGGGGCTCCGGACAACAAGATCCTCAAAGGACCGTCTCCCTGGCTTCCGCAGATGCCATAGTCAAAACAGGGGCAAAACGACCCTGTTTCCATGAGGTGACTTGTTTTTGTGCCATCGCCACGTATCAATGGTAGCTTGTGCGAAAAGAAGATGCTCTTCTATGGGGTGTCCATTCTGCTATCATTCTTTCCAAAATTCAATTTTCCCCAGGCATTTTGCTCCTCTGGATGAAAGGCAGGATCCCTGCAAAGAACGGGGCCTGCAAAGAATGGGGAAGTCATCACTAGACCTGTGGCTACCAACCCTATGTAAAAGTAAAATACTGACATGACCCCTGCGGTGCCATGATGTGGTATAAGGGGCATGCCCTTGCAAAATCCCTGAGATGGTCGTGGAGAAACCTTCACTTGCCAACAGTATGTCAAGGTCTTTTCTCAGGTCGAACCAAAGCAGCCCGTAGGAAACAAGCCGCCAACGGAAAGCAGAAAAAAAAGAGGTCCGTCTACACGTGTTTCCCGGAACCCTGGATGGGCTTTAACCCAGAAACGGGAGGTGGCAACCCAACCAAGGGATTTGCACATTTTGCATATGTCCAAAACCTGAGATAAGGACATCCCAAGAAAAGGACCTTTAGCATGGTGAGCAAGGTGTGCTCGCCATAAATTAGGCAAACAGAGACCCAAAGGGCTCCGGCGGAATCAAACAGTCACCTGTCCCTTCCCAAAACCTAAAGGACTGGTTGAGATCCCTGGTTTACTCACTTCCCCGCAGAGGGGAGAAGTTGATCTTGAGTTCTGCCAAGATCGCTTCGTATCGTCTCGAAACAGGGGCGCGCCAATTGTGGTTCGCCTTCTGGCTTCCCTTTCTCAACCAACCAAACAAGTTGGTTGCCCCAAAAAAACACAAACACACATTGACATGTAAAAGTTGCTCACGGCCGGAGCATGGTCAGTCCCTCGTCCACAGGGGCGCCTCCCACGCATCGAAGTCCTCAAGGTCTATGAGCTCGTCCACCTGCTTGGCCTGAAGCTTGGATTCGATTGGCCTGATCAGGCCAATCGGGGGTCTTTTGGAGGGCTGGTAGAGTCCCTGAATTCAGCAAAAAGTCAACTCAAGATGTGAAAAAACGAGGGCTGAATATTTACGAACGCTCTACTCTGGCTTTGAAGTACAATTGTGGGCCGGTGCTCAGAAGTGAACTGAGCAGACCCACCATGTCCGGCGCTTGAAACATCAGGCCAAGCTTGTCCGAAAGGATCACCTTTCAAAATCTTTCCGGGGTCGGGGGGTGGGACCCTAAACTGTTTGTACGCTAAACCATGTTGGCGGGCGTCCGGGTATGAACCTCGCAAGAAAAGAAGAAGAAGAAAAAAACACAATCTAACACGCCAGGCTTGATGTGCTTGCACTTTGGATGAACACACCACCCACCCTCCCAACCCTCACTGCCCGTCCACCCACCCCACCCACCCAAGCGTGCGTGCGCGCGTTGCTCGCTCGCACGCCACACGCGGCGCACACCCAAAGCCAATCAGACGAAGACTGCATCCCCAACACCCCCCCCTCAGCCCAAAAACCTGAGAAAAATGACAGAATCACATAAAGCCCATCAGACGAAGACTGCGTCGCTGGCACCCACCCTCAGCCCCACAAAAACCCGGGAAAAATGACAAAATGCATTTGCGATGTTCTCTGCATAGTGGCGCCGGCCCCGCTTTCCAAGAACCCCGCTCACTTGATCGCAACCATGCCCGCTATTTCCGCCCCCTGAGGAAACCTACTCTCAGGGAGCCACTTTTGTAAGCCTGGGTGCTTCTGATGTAGGAATGCTGGGGATGCTGGTGAAGTTGTAGGGGATGTTGGCGGGGGCCCCGTTCCAAGGCCAGGGATGTCGGGGATGTTTGGGGGCCAAAATGTCTGGACTGGCCTGTGTCCGGGTGATGCAGGGGATGCTGAGGAGGAGCTTCTGGTGCAACAGCGGTAACCCTGCAAGTAGGGTTGCGCAGCTTGAAGCCACACAGCGCGGCTGCATAACCCCCGAAAAAGAAATGCCAGGGTGGCTCCAATCTTGGTGCTTGATGATGACCTCCACGAAGTTGATATTCATCTATTTGGTCTGGGGGCGATCGCCAAATGGATAGGAACTCGAGCTACCAGCTATGTTGGGAAAGTGTCCGGACTGCCGTATGCTCGTGCATCTGCCTCCGGCAAAAGATAAAGTGCATCAAACACATCCACCAAAGCAAACAGCATCTGCATCCCTTGTTTTATTTGACCAACATCTGAGGTAAGGAACCCGAAGTAACGAACGTTCACCATGTGGCCCAAGCGTATTCTACCGCCAGGTGAGGTCGCCATCATTTGCCCAGAATCCACCGAAACTTCCCAACCCCTTGCAGGCTGTGCCCTTTAGTCTATTTTAGTGGGGATTGGGATGTTCGCCCGGGGGTACGGGCTTTTGACCCATCGCCAATCCTTTCTGGGAACCTGCGAAACAGATCACCAGGGACTCTCCCCGCCTTCGCCTTTGCTTCTCGCTGCTTGGTCGCGTGCCGAGCCACACGTGCTCTGGGCGCCTGCGGCTCATGGACACGTTTTGCGTTACAAGGCATCACCCGCCGGGGTTCGAGGACGTTCTTGAAATAGTGCCCGAAATACACAATCGGCCGTGGGTCAAAACCCTGTACGCCTGGTGAACATCAAAACATCGGTGGCAAAGGGATGTTCATCCACCCCAAAATGGAGCCATAGGTTATGCCCCATGGCCAATTAAGTCCAGGGCTATGCCACAATGCTTCAGACATAGGGACCCTGTTTTTTTTAGGGGGTACCTCTCTGGGGGTCTGAAAGTCTCTTTGGCTTACTTGTCCAATCAAGCTTGGTGGCTTAGTGACCGGCGCCACCCAATGACGGCTTCTTCCCATGTTCAAAACCTCCAAGTACTGTCCAAAAAGATCCAAAAAGCATACCAGGGTGGATAGATGAATAGCTCTGGTTGGGGGTTCTCAGTCACCGAAACACTCTTTCAAGCCAGCACCACAAAGGGCCAAGCCATGCGGCCCGTTTTCATTGTCTACCCAATTCAGGATGGATGTGGAACCTGCTCATTGTCAAACATAGCCCTCTCTGTGATACGAAAGTGGCGCATCCCCACTTGATCAGTCAGGGGAGTTCCTGTGCCACAGAAAGTGGCAACCTAAATCCATGCTGAACCTGTTTGCCAAGTGCCAGGTGCTTCTTCCTGGCGTCTCACCTTTGATACCGTTGCAAGTGGCAACACTACAAACAGAAATGGAACACTCAAAGCGGGTCGACCATGTGGACCGTGCGTGAAAGCCTTTGGCCCGTTTTCAACATTGAGTGTTCATAAAGTGCGTCGGTCTCCTGTGCCCAAACCAAGCTCCAAACAAGTGCGCACAAAGAGAATTCCGAAAAGGAACACGAAAAGGAAACTCCAAACAAACATGATCCGATAAAGTCATGGCCTGCTTGTGCTGAAATCTCAATGGCAATCGGCTTGACAAGCCTGTGTCAAGAGGAAACAAACACCAAATATGTCCCCTCGTGGTTTCCTGTTCTGCCTGGCGTGAGACACCTTGAAATAATGATGCCTGTCCAACAACGCGGATGAGCTTCTTGTTTTCTTGCGCTTGAGTCGTGCAAACTCTCATGACTCTCCAACTAAATGGCACCGAACCAAATGGCAATCGACCGCACCCCTCCAATTGCCAGTTAGACAATGCTCAAAACACACAAGAGGGAATGGTGCCAAATCGTTGCGGGCTCGGAATCAAAGAAAATCGGGCCACCTGCCTGGAATGCCAAGCACAAGGACCACAATGAGACGAGCGCCAGGAGGCAAAGGCCTACCGACGCGAGCAATAAAGACAACCGAAACGATGAAGCCCCCAAAGGGCTTTACCCCCTATTCCACAAACCCAATGTTTTTTGGGTATGACGTCAACCCCTGGCTAAAAAAAGAAGACCTGTGCTTTTGTCCGAAGCCTCTGGTCAAATTTAGGAACCGAGACTGGCAGGTTTGTCATTTTCATTTTTCAAGTAAGAGGATTGTTTCGGAGTTGGTGTAGTTCAGCTTCCCCTAGTTGATGGCTTGGATTGGTGGTTTGGTAGATAAGTCGTGGTTTCCCATTTACCCTCTACAAGAACCATCCAAACCACCAATCAAGGGATACCTGACTTCCTGCGTTGAAGGTGAATTGAAGTAAAAACAAAGGCCACAAGCCAACATGTTTGCCGCCCCATGAAACTGCACTTAGGGGCACAAGGCAAACGGAGGGACTCTTGGAGCACTCGGACAAACATGCTAGCCCAATGGTGTGTGTGTGTGTGTGTCTGTGCGAGCAAACATTTGCCGAGACAAACTCATGACTGAGTGAAGCCCCAGGTACGCACGCTCTGTCGCATGAGGCATTGTGCGGTCTTCGGTACATTTCAAGCCGCTGCCAAATGAGAGCCCCGCCTCCTCTGATTCGAGCCTTGCCCACAATTGCGTCAGTCGGAAGTTGGGTTGGGCAACCCGCCCACTACTTGAACATGCTGTGAACACTGCCCTGCACCAACAGGCGTCACAGTTTGCAAGAGCACTGGTGGCTCAATAATTTACACGAGTCCATCATCTACTCATCTGGGCTATCCTCAGATCCCCTACTAAGCTTAGACGGTTGGGAACCACTAAGCATAATGCTTAGAGCACCAAATCCTGAACGGATTGGAGAGAGGACCTGGGACAGCCCACTGGTTTTACCCGAGAGCTCAAAGCCTAGTGATCACTTGGCCCACATCGGGGGTACGGGGTACACCGAAAATAAGGTCTTCGGATTGTCTTATCTATACCTAAAATATCTCCACCTCTACAAAGATACCCAAATCATATACCAACCGTCGAATTGGTTTGGCTGACTGGGGCGGCCCCTTTTTTCCCTCTTAGACTGAGTCGGAGGCGCGGCTCGCACCTGAGCCACCACAACTCTCGTGGGTTTCCATGGGATTCCGAATTGGCACCTCCTCTTTTTGGTGTCTATAAAGGGCTTCCAAGTTGGACAAACGAACAAGCGGGGATACGGAGGGAGCTGGGATATGGGGGGATTTTTTTGTGGCGCCATTTCCCACATCAAACTTGGTCAAGGTGCATTTAGGGGGAATCCTGAAGTATCCCTGGCTGCTGGTTGGTTTCCCTGAACTTGAACAGGAAGCAAGGTTTAGCCACCGGAGGTCTGGGCTAAACAACATGTTCACACTTGGGGCGCCACCAAGTGACGGCCAATAAACCGGATCTGACCTGCAAAAGGCGACGGCTGTATTAAGGAACCACAAAGGGCCTCCACTGCCATGAGGCCCTTTTCTGGAGGGCGCCCTTGTTTGGTGGCGTTAAAGGGAAACCAAAAGGACACCAACCATTTTGGGGCAATTGTGCAAAACATTTCCGGCGGCGACTTCAAACACCATCCAACAGTTCAAGGGCATCGAACATGGCTTTTTTAGGAAACTCTTGAGTGCGACATTGAATGAAAGTGACCCTGACAAATGCCTTTTTGGGTCATGGTCATTCAGTTGCGTGTTCCGGGGCTTCCAGTCGCCCCCTTTTGTTTTGAAAGGACATAGGGTTTCCTTAGCCAAGACCACCAATTCAGAAATACCCCTTGCGGAACGCCCGGTTTTGGAGGAGAAGGGCAGCAAATGTCTAGGATCCCAAGCCTGTATCCTTTCCAACCTGTTTCATTGCTTAGAAGCCCAGTGGGGGAAAACAAACAAGGGTTAAGGGTACTTGTGTCTTTGGTTGTCAATGGCAAACCCTTCTGAAGCGAAGGAAAGCTGATGCTTGGAAACCGCTCATTTGCTCGTCTTGTTGATCTGTACAACCAATCCAACTGCTCATGACCAGTATCCCCCCTATTGGTGGTTTTGATTGCTTGAACCCCCGGTTCTTGTAGAGGGTAGATGGGAAACCAACCCTTGACCTCCAAACCACCAGTTGAAGCTGATCATTTGCTCCGACGCGTCTCTGGCGAATCAAACATCGCATCCGAGTCGCCCATGGCGCGACTCAGGCGGGCGGGCGCCAGCTGGCTGTGAAAGCCCAAGCTGCGGGAGGTCTCCACGTGACAAACGGGAAGCGTAGAGTTGGATGCATGCATTAATATTTATCCACAGATGTACACAAGCGTGTACATCTATATATAAAACATACATACATACATACATACATACACATATATATATATATATACATATATATATATATATTTATGTGTATGCATACATATACATTCACGTACACATAAGGGTGACTATACATGTAATATACATATATATATATATAGACTATGTATGCATGTGTATATGATTGCTTGTATCTATGCCCCAGGGCATCTACCCCGATACATGGTTGAGCCTCAGACTAAAGCGGTTGACAACAGCAAATAGCACCTGCCAAAGTTCATTGGGCTTGATTCCCCATTCCGTTCTGTTATTGTTTTCCCAAGCCAGATTCGCTTCCATCCCGCTGTCGTGCAAACAAACAACACAGTGTTGAATGGCCAGAAGTCGGCGGATTCGGCGGTTAATCTGAACTGAAAGGTTCTAAGCGCAGAAACTCTGAACAGAAACCGGAGGTCAAGCCTTAGATCTGTTACGAGCTAACTTCGGCGAGCGTTTCACAGCCCAAGCTGTTTTCGGTCTCAGGACCCGTGGGGGATTGGTGCAAAAGTGGCCCCGACCTACTGGGCTTGCCCTGGCGTGTACCTCTATCAGGTGAGTAAAAGGCACCATCTGACGCTTGGCACTTGAAGCGGCGAAAATGTGACGTTTGCTAGGGACACTACATGAATAACCACAAAAAGGCTAACGGTTCAACAAGCTAAGCCTTCGGGTCTGCTCACACATCCCCACCCCATCATCGTGCCTCGACCACAAGGGGCAGACTGAACAGAGTAGATGCCTCAGTCTGGGTAGGGTGTGGGCAGCACTCATGCAGTTGGTGCCTAAAACCCCTTCTTAGACGGTCTGCAGGCGTTACCAAATGCTTAGTCACCTTAAGTACAAGGGCGTACGAAGGGCTTAACTGGGGGTTTCTGAATGACTCACCGACAGCCAGGTTCTCCTTGGACTCAATCTTTGGTCCTCAGACAGCCGGTTTCAAGGGCCCCGAATAAGTGATGGGCGAGCGCCACAGGGGCCAAGGTCTGCATTGAATGGTCATGACAAGGGCTCTAAAGTCATGTCGTCGGTGCGCGTGCCTAAGAACTGGCGACCCCCGGCCCAAAAAACAAGGTGTTCTTTCCTTCCAAACGGAACAGGGTCAGCCATGCAACATGTTTACGCCCGCCCCCATGTCGGGACGCGGCTGGCAAACAAGGCGTGCGAATTCATTGCCAAGTCAGTTGGGTTTGAACTGATGGGTGCCAAGACCATGATTTTCGACCATTGAGACACAGAACACCATGTAAGTCTGTACACATGTATGCATGTAAAACAAACAGTTGCTCCGCTCATGGCCGCCAGTGGATGGGCTTGAGCCATACCACTAGAAGCCGCCCCAACAAGGACAGTTGCCACACGTAGAAGCATTTAAGTATGAATGCATGCGTGCCGGCAAACATGCGAAGCAATCATGTGAGCTACCTGCCAAAATCACTTGTCTTCGTCAAGGAAATGTCTATGCAAAATGATCGTTTTTGGTGGGGGCCCTATCGCTTTACAGCGTTCTGCGCAGCTTATCGGTTTTGGTGGGGCGGGGGGGGGGGGGGCAGATCTCTTTGCGAGGCTGTCAGCAAATTTATGCTGCCAACCCCGCTTTACGAAAGTGATCTAGCCATGTTTTGACCGTGACTCATGCAAGCAGCTATGCATGCGGCAACTAATATGCTAACACATGCCTGCACAATTTACCGTTGAGAAAGCATGTATTTGTTTGATATGTAAATAGTTGCAAATATATGATTCCATGAACACTTCTATGTTTACATACACATAATGAATATGTCTGTGTGTGTACATATGTGCTTCTCTCCTTGCATACCTGTCAGGTCGTCAAAATGTCCGTTCCTGAAACGGCCATGAATGCAGAATTCCAAGCGTGCCGAAACGGAAAGTATGGGCTGCAAAGGTCTTAATCATGTCGGAAACTGCGTTTTCAACAAAGTTGTGAGCAAAAACACAAACGCGCGCGCAATGGGATACTCATGTGCTTTCCCATATGTCTGCGGAGCACAGACTGCTGACAACTCATCACATGTGTTAGTATGTGTACCTCTGTGTTTAGTACAACTATGTGCTTGCGACACGTGGATGTGATTGAGCCATATACTCGCATCAACACCTAGACTATACATACGCATGCACATACTCAAGTAGGGTTGCCTATATGCATGTATGTACACA